GTCGCAAGTGTTGGTGGTGGTCATCAATTATTTGGTCGGCTGTGACCATTAAATTAGTTAATTTGTGAAAAATGAAAAAATTATTTGTGACCATAAAATTATATGTGATCTAAAAAATTATTAATTTGTGATCGATAATTTAATAATTTGTAACTGACTAATAAGTTGTGACTCTTAATATTTGTGATTTGTGACCTGTGACCTATTCATTTTTGATTTGTGACATATGAAAATTTTAATCTGTGATCGTAAAATAATTTGTGACTTATAAATTTTCTAATTTGTGATCGAAAAATAATCTGTGACTAATTAATTTGATAAAATGTGACCAATAAATAAGTTATGACACATAAGTATATATATGCGACCATGAATTGTATAATTGTAATTTTAATATATTTAATTAATTAATACTCGATTTTTGCAATTTCTAAATTTAAGGCCCGAGAATTGATTTGGTGATAGTTAAGCGTGTTCGGTCGTATTTAAAATCCAATTAAAATTGAAAATATAATCGTTATTGGATCCCACACGTCTAATAAAAATCAACAATAATGATTAATTTTTTAATTTTAATCCGATTTTAATTTTTATCGAACACGCACAATTTGCCCCATGAATTCTTCCCTTTTGCTTTATGTGATAAAGGCAGGCAAATCAACAGTCTCGCTCGTACGCCCTCCTTTCGAGTAGGAGTTTGCTATTTTCATGGATTGTGTACATAATGAATGAAATAATATCATCTGATAATACGATCAACATTTTCATCTAATCTTTCTCCCTGTCAGCGAACACGGTTAACAAGAGAAGCCCGACCCCCCCTCTCTCTCTCTCTCCCCTTCTTTTCGTCTCTCTTTTCTCATCATTCAAACCCTTGGAATTGATAATTGAAACTCAGAAAAAATATAAAGGATGGTAGATTTTGCACGGGTACAGAAGGAGCTACAAGAATGCAACCGGGATTTTGAGGTTTCGGGCATAAAAGTCATCCCGAAGAGTGATGCTAATTTGGCCCACTTGCTTGGTACAATCCCTGGTC